AGAAGTAAGATCTAAGATTCTAAATTTCCAATTCGCTACTTGTTGGCACTTGACTGATGATTATTTTTACTGTGGATGGCTTTTTGTTGCTACATTTGTGATTGTTGTGTTTTTGGTTTGTACGCATTAAAGTGAATGCCATCGCTAGCAGTACTCACCGCATTTGTTGTTAATATTATTTAGAGCGTAAGTTACCCAGTTGGAAATAGAATTTACTGTTGTTAAGATATCAAAAGGAGTACTTTGGACCTTATTGAACCATTAATTACCTATTTCCCTTTTTTCCAATACCTACTGTTGTAGGTCCAAATGTTTTATAGTTGTATGATATACCTATTATTTTTAAAAACCAAAACAAAAAAAAAACCAGGTCGAAAATCAGTTCCATTTCAAATCTCAAAGGAACTGGTTTCGACCTCTGGGTTCCAAAAAAGCTGGAATGTCGTAAAAACTATAAAATATTTGGATCTTATCATATTGTTTTATAAATGTTTTCGTGCTGGCGTGGGTCCAGTTTGGGGCCATATGACAGTATTAAAGCGTCGAATATTTTATGTTCTCTTTCAAGGCGTCAATCATCTTGAGCTTAGCTGTGAAGACAACCGACTTCACATAATCTCACATAAAATAGTGCAGCGGTATTTAATCGCATGATTTTGGAGGCTATGCCACAAGTCTGCGGAATGAAATAATACGCTCATCAAAAGCTTTCTTCAATATATGGATTGTTTTGTTGGTTGTAAGGCATGTAGCATCGTCTTTGTGGAGCCAAAAATCGCCTCCATCAACATCCACTAATTCAGGCAAAAAAAATACATTAATTCTGGTTCCATAATATACCCCATTGACTGTACCATTAGGTCGGTTTATTTAAAAAAAAATAGATACCAATGATTTCCTCTGCCTAAGCAAGCAATGACTTTTTGAGGATGTAATTAGAGCCGCGAACCAACTCCCAGAAGGTAGTTGTTTTTAATGTTCCCAGGTTCACCCTGTTAAAAGGCTAAGTCCACAATTGACTCACTCCCAGTCCTCTTCACCTGCACTTATTACACCAACTTAGTAATTAGGGGAGAGGATCGTACTCCGCAAGCTGCCACGGTTTTAACGCAGAGTGTCTCTTCCTCATACTCAAGCGACGGAATACTTTAGACAGCCCAGGACAAAAGAAAGTCCAAAAAAGCATCAGTCAAGAAGTCATAATCTGAGTTGAATGCGAGGTGAAATTCTGATAGGGCTTTTCACAAGCTGTATATATCATATGTCATTTGGTGTTACCCAGGACGTTAATGTTTCAAGTTCTTACATGGAAACTTTTTTATTTGTGAAGGGTATTCCAGCTTTCGAGGCGACCATTTGTTGATGATCCATGATCTTTTTCGCACATTATTGTCGTATTTGATCCACTTTCGTGTTCGCACTCGCTTCAGAAATGGCTCGATTTCATTTCGTTTTATCAAATAATCGCAGATGTTAATTGCTTCCATTAAATTTTTTTAAGGCAATTCATATGGTACCCAAACATCGAGTTTTTTTTTTTTTTTTTTTTTTTTTTTTTTTTTTTTTTTTTTTTTTTTTTTTTTTTTTTTTTTTTNTTTTTTTTTTTTTTTTTTTTTTTTTTTTTTTTTTTTTTTTTTTTTTTTTTTTTGTAGCCAGCCTTTTTTTAAATGATTCAAAACCGTTTGATGATGAATGTTAAGTTTCTTAGCGATGTCATAACTGCTTATGTGACGGTCCTGGCCAATCTTTTCCATAATTTCATCGACTTTTTCATCGAAAGGTCGACCAGAGCGAGGTACATCTTTCACATCGAAATTTCCATCGAAGCAAACGAACCATTGTTGTGGTACACGAACTGATCGTCTCTATAAACTTCACAAATTTCCTTGCTGGTTTGCATGGCATTCTTCTGTTTTTTATACAAAAATTTCAAAATATAGCGAATTTCTTCATTACTCACTCATTTTTGAACAGCTGTAACTTATTTCACCTTTCCAACAATATATGGTATGACACAATGTGATTGGTAGTACTGGAGGTAGACGACTGCAACAACATCTATTGGCAAAATACGAAAAGACTTTATCGACTACCAAAGGTTATAGTCCTTCAACCACTACAAGTATTCTAACTCAGTAGTAGGAATGCCAGTGAGAACTGACAAGGAAGCAGTGGTAGTGCTTGCAAAAAATATACAAAAAATTATATATTGTATAGACCCATATACATAATAGATACCCTCTAGTACCCTCTCTACAAGTCTTATAGTGCTTACAAGCTTGAAGTGGAAACCGATGGAGAAATGTCTTCACATTGTCGCGCTTCCATCACCATTAGTGTCACCAATTTTAGCATCAGCAACTTGTTCACTCATATCTCTGCACATATTCTTCACAATTTCTGCCACCGCCATTGTCTCCGCAATCTATATCAGCCACATTCTATTCGATTTCGAAGTGAAACGCGTCGTTTCAGCGTCACTTTGGGCGCCATTCAGACGCGCTGAAATAAAAATAAACAACAATACAATTTTTATTGTGCAACATATACATATGTGTGTGCATGTGTGTGTGAATATTTTTCGCCATTTTCCACTCCGTTACTATTTCTTTTTTCTGCGAGGCAGCTTACCAATTTGCACTGGCAATTCGTAGGATTTATGTTTGTTTTCCTTCCGCGATGACTATGCTATGAGTATCTGTGTTGTTTCAGCTACCAATTGACCACACAAGCACTTCGGGAAAAGAATTTAGTAAAGTGTAATTTGTTATTTTTTTTTTTTTTTTTTTTTTTTTTTTTTTTTTTTTTTTTTTTTTTTTTTTTTTTTTTTTTTTTTTTTTTTGTGTTTAAATTGAGTGCGTATCGCTTGCAGATAGTTTAGAGTTTTACAGTTTAGATGATGATGAATATCAGAAAACAAAGCGAGTAAATAGTTTAGAACCTCTATGAAAACGTAAATACTCTTATATATTGGTAATTGGTATGTTTCCTGATGGAATCTGTAGCGAATTCGTTAAATCTGGTGAGGTTTTGAGTCAAATATGTGTCCTTTGAGCTTTTGTTTTCTGAAATTTCTAAGAATAATTAGCTAGTTATCAATATATACAGTCCATTTGGAGAGTTTCGTTTGTAAAGATATAATCGATAGTGAGGCTTAAAAGAATATGTCACAAAACTTTGTCTTGAACATTGCTAGATAACTTGACACTGACGGCTCGAAAACGTAGAAAAGCATTTTTGCAAGTTTTGCAGGACCGCAGTCATAATCAACCGGTATTCAAAGCAATCTCAGTTTACGAAATTACAGCTCTATTGTTCTAGGAGTGCATAGAACGGCTAACTAGCCTATCAAATAGCAACCAAGTGCATTTGGTTACCACGTCACAAGATTATGACCGGGAAAGAGCTTATAATGAGCTTTTTCGCGCTGCAGCTGCTATCAGGATGCCAAGACCGAAAACCTGTGTTACGGTTGATCACTTTACTTTTAAAAGAGCTGTTCCACAGGGAGGATAAAGAGGCAAAGTAGCTTAAGTATCTTAAGTATATTTACAACCTCACTAGGTTTAGAAGTGTAATCAACCTCCTAAGAAACGAATTCTGGCTATTTGTGGAATGTCATACACTTTTCTTCTATAACTTTTCTAAGCATTTTACTAGGCATCTTAATCCTAAAATTTTTTTTAATTATATTAAATTATAAGCTTGCTTCTCTCAATCGAAGTACGCTTTAACTACACTAAAAACCAAATTGATTTTACTGTTTAAGTAACATCTGCTAAAAACAAATCATTACTTTTCAAATAAATGGTTTCAGTAATCAGAAGAAGACACTTTAGTGCCATATACACCGCTTATGCGATTATAGCCGAGTTTACAACATCGCGCCAGTCGTTCTTCCTTTTCGCTCTTCGGCAAGTATTGCGCCGAGTACTCTTAGAGAGGCAGTATTTTCATCCATTCGAACGAAATGACCAAGCCAGCGTACCCATTGTCTCTTGATTCGCTGAACAATCACTGTCGTCGTATATATTATATCACACAGCTCATCGTTCAATTGAGTGCGATATTAGCCGTTGACAATGCGCATCATAAATCTTCCGCAGAAGTTTTCTCTTGAAAACTCGTAACATCGATTCACAGATATCATCGTCCATGTCTCTGCACCATATCGAAGGACAGAGACAGTGAATTGTAGAATTTTGTCTTTGTTCGTCGAGAGAGGACTTTACTTCTCAATTGCCTACTCAGTCCAAAGTAACACCTCTTGGCAAGAGTTATTCTGCGTTTGATTTCAATGCTAACGCTGTTGTTGATGTTAACTATGGTGCAAAAAAGATAAAATTATCTTCGACTTCGGAGTTGTAACTGTCTACAGTGACGTGGGAGCCAAGACGCGAGTTCTATGACTGTGTGACACAGTCATCGGCGTACGCCAGATGCAGTTCAGGAGGACCTTGCCGATCTTGACGGAGCTTTTGGTATTGCTCAAAGTCAGTTTCTCATGTCGGTATGTCCAGTTGTATAAGTGCTGCGGTATAGATTACTCTATATTGCGTTTGAAAGAAAACCCATATTTACAGTCTGTGTCAGTTAGTTTGAAATGTGAATGCGTATACGTTTTGGTTTCATCAAATCCATCTTTTGCTTTAATCAAGTTCTTAATTAGATCTGCACTGTCAACAATTGAACCACCTGCAGGAAGCCGAAATTTCCTATTTTGTTTAATAGAGGCGCAATTGTGCTCCTTTAGGACTACGATAGGACTCACATCAGTAGGTAAACACCTTAAGGTACGCGTGTCCAGGCCTTTTCCAAATAGGTAGCTTCGCTCTAAGATGCTTTAAAAATTTAAAATCATATCTCTACTTTTCCGTACTTGCTGGGACTATAAATGAAACAAATACACTTAATATGGACTTTATTTATACATACATATTACAATTGAATCACTTCTTTTCATTTTCAATTCTTCATTTATTTGTTTGTGTTTTTTCCAGCTCCCCATTTGCTTGTGTTGTCTTTGTGTGACCTTTGATTGCGGGTCGATATTTTCTTTACGCTTCCACGTTTCGAGAATCCAATTACAACAACAACACGAATATACCAATTTCGAACACTAAATGTAAGTAAAAAGTTATAGCCACAATGTGCACATCACGACTTCTGTAGAAACTTTTCAATCAAATCCACCACATAATTGATATGTATATACTCAAACACTTATTTTATAAATATATATATATATATATTTCTATGTATATGTAGAGAGATAGCGAGACTTCAGAGTCTATTTTGGGTTTTCACTTATTTGTTTCTCTTCATTTTCTTGTCTTCTTTGTTTCTTTATTAATCTACGGCAATGACCAATGAATTAAGCTCTTTTTGGCACGAAATTTCTCTCACCACACAGCTAACCGCTCCAACTTTATACGCTTTATGAATTTACGTTAAAGTTTTTCAAGATTCTTTACTTAATATAGCGACATTTTCTCTTGTTCCTACTTCTATTTTTTCGCATTATTTCTGGCCCTCAAAATATAAAAGCGTTAACAAGTCAGGCGTTCAACAGAGCATTTTCGAGCATATTTGTGTTGTTCTAGTTCCTTAACTTCACACTAATCTCCACTCATCATTATCGCAAGCGCTTCCGGGCGGAGCTACACTCTGTTTATCGGCAGTGCCCTCTTTTCTGCCACTATGCGGAGCAATAAAACTGATGTCACGTTTTTATGACGTTGTTGATGAGTTGTTATCTTTGATTTCGTTTTGCTGCATACTGCACACCAGCTCAGTGTCACTACTGTTCCACCAGCCCCTCTTGCATGCCTCTCCAATCTGCTGGCATAGCGATTCATACTCTGAAGGGTAGCGGTATTTAGTGCGCCGCCCACGCAGTGTTGCTTTTTTCGCGTGCAAATCTCTGTGCGCTCAAGCAGATTGTCGGTTATTTCCCTTACTTCAACTCGTAAGTGTCTGGGCATCAAGGCTCCGCTTTTTGTTGTCACTTTTCCTTAATTTTGGCGTTCATTGCACACTTCGTTGTGGCGGTGTGGCTGCCACATTTGTTTGCTTGCTTATTTACTCAAGCTCTTCAATTTTTCCTCAAAAGCATATTTCAAGTGCAGTCATAAAATTTTTATGTCAACATTCCCCTCCATTTAACACGCATTCAAGGATATTTAATATGTGCTCGCTTCGAAGTACTCGGAAGCATTAGCGAAACTAATTTTGCTTGTCAGCTTTATGTGCTCGATTTCAATTATATAACTAATTAGGCTCTTAGTGTGCGCCTCAATGAGTTGAAATTTGTTATACCTACTTATGTCTGTGTAAATGGTATAGGTCGCACCATCCATTGATGGATGCTAAGGTGATAGTCAAACTCATATGTAACAGCATTAATTTCAACACAATATCTTAATACATATACATGTAGAATAAGACCGTCTATGTTGTGGTTTACACACCAAAGCATAATCCAACCTGTGGAATCATATTGGTCAAGTCTTTTTTAATCACTGACATTTTTTATTCAGAAAAATTTTGATGAAAACATTTTTTTTTTTTTTTAATATATTTTTGTGAACTTGAAACATCAAACAAATGTTGTGACTGTATTTCAGAAAATGTGTAATTAGAAACTCCTCTGCGGTATAATTAATTGAGTGCTTTGAATTATAAATATAGTTTCCAAACAGCCTTTTTAACGTCTCATTAATCTGCTTGTGTTTACTTCCTTCAAGATGTCACTTCACGGTTCCCAAATATTTACTTAGTTCCAAAATGTTGATAATTGTTCTTCAGAAAACGATTTTATACACGTTAGAGTTCACATGATATTCGTTATATTTTTTGAGGAGAATTTTTGTTACAAAAATATAAGTAAATGGAAAAATTCCTGACGAAGTTCACAGAATATTATTTAGATGATGTTCTTCGGGCACAAACGGGTGAAAATATCATAAAGTATTAAGCCTTATTAATTTATAGTCAATGGATTGAAAAAATAAAGCAAAATACTAGTGTGCATAATTATAATTTTAGAAACAAAGCCCTTACTAAATTTTCACAGTAAACGGATCGATTCGTTCGTATGGCAACCGTGCCTGTGTGAAAACTGAGAAAAAATCAAAATCATTACACCGATTAGTTATTTTTATAATGTAATATCTTTCTTCATATACGCAAATGTTTAAAGGTACTACATTGTGACATAAAAATACCCGGGAATTGTATATAAAACGCAAACTATTTAATTATTCAGCAATATTTCTTTTGCCGCCTTCAAAGTACTCAACAACAGACTTAATACATTTAAACCAAAAAATTTTTCAATCCTTGAAGCACTTTTCATAAGCAATTTTTGGGGAGGTTTTCAGCTCCTTCAGCGAATTTTCTTTTATTTTTTCGATCGACTGAAAAAAGGTTTCATTGCGATGATTGTAAACTTATTTGCATGTTAAACTCATAAACATATATCTCAAGCTTAGGCTCAATTAGGCTCATTGAGTTCGCTGGGGGTAACCAAACTAAGTATTATCCTGCTACAAAAACCTGATTTTTTTTCAACCTAGGTGCCCAATGTCTTTCAAGTTAAGCAATGTGAGCTGTGGAATATATCCCGACTCATCTGTTTGAAATTTTTGAAAGTGAGATCTTAAAGGTAGGAGTCCTATAATAACACTTGTACTATTACTAAGTTTTCTTTTACCTAAAAATAGAAGTTTTTGGCCTGTCCGCTATCAACACTATCCGAAAGTAAGCCAAGACCAGAAGTGATACTTTAGAGTCTCTTGCTTCAAATAACCCATAAAGAGCTGAATGTATTGGGGCAACTTATGGTAATTGTGTTGTCAGCTGTTCCAGAGCGTGTCAGCTCCCCTATTCATTAAATTTTATCCTGTTGATTGGAAACCCAAATGATAATACTTGTTACTTATTGAAAATCCAGTTAATTTGAGATTTTTAATTAGAGACAATTTTTGAGACGATTTTGAAATTTTGTTAGTGACAAAAAATTTCTCAATTGAAGACGAACAAGATGTGTATAAGAGACAGCTATTTTAATTAGAGACAATTTTTGAGACTTGAGACGATTTTGCTATTCTGTAAGTGACAGTCACAAAATCTATTACATTTCATTATTCAGAGATGTTTTTACACTTGAATGAAAATAAATATGTCGATAACATATATTAAATTTTCTATAACATAGTCAAAAGATATAATTATCAATAATAATAAAATATATTTATATATATATATATGTTGACTTTGTTTCATAATATTTACGAAACTTATGTAAAATTTATTTATTTTTAACCTTTTCGTATTTGAGTTGCTTACAAAATATAAAAAAACGGCAATCGATTAATATCTAAGATGATCTCTATTCAGTACATATATTCAAACTGGCAGACAAGAGTTCTTTTTAGTTTTGTGACCTGCTACCTACCAGGTCTCAAATTTGAAGCAATATTTTAAGTCTAACGCTAGAGACTGTTTAGTGAATAGTAACTAGTCACAAATTGAGATTTTACCTCTAAATATCTCAAATAGAGACTAGAGACTGGTTACAGAATCCCGCTATTAATACAGGCGTCATCTCGCTTATCCATCTACTAGAAAGTTTATGAACTTGCCGGTTAGCGCAGAAGCCCATTTGGTGTCTTTTATTATGTCTACGATTTCAGCCTGATAGACTGCACTAGGTACCTAAAGTTTGAAGTTACCTTTTGTGTATGGATTATAACAGAAGAAGCCCTCTTCTCAGCCTATTTAACCTTTGACCTCGAAGATACCTTTTCAAATAAAAAATTGTTCCGTGCAAAGACTTGATTTTGATCGATCAGTTTGTATCTCAGCTAAATCCTATGTTGGCCCGATATCGGAGGTTCCGACAAACGTGCAGCTTCTTGAAGAGAAAAGGAGCGATGTAAAATTTATCAAGTTATAAAAACATATACATATAATATAGGCATACAGTAATTCTTAAAATTATTGGGCGGAAGAGTTCGGACTTTATAAAAAATATTTACCAAGACCATTGAACCTATAATAAAGCATTATTAATAGTTTATTGAAATAATTCTTAACAATGCAACTTAAGCGAGTTGCAAAAACTCGTCCATAGTGACGCTTCAATTTCGAATATAAATATGGCCCATATACCATTTCAACGTATGCATTTGCCTCTTAAACTTCAACCAGCAAAGCTTCTGGAGAAAAATGCAAAATATTATTTGCGCAGCTGTAATTTTACTTTTGTTTGGTGTCACTTCAATTAAAGGTAATGCAAATTTTAGGATTTCACCCGCATCATACCACTTTTGTTATTGTAACCATGTTTTATATTATCTTATCACCTTTTGTTGCAGCACAAGATTGCCGTCCCCTGACGATACAGCTGCTTGTTGGACAAAGGTTCTGCTTACGCAACTGTCCGCCACTATCAAAAAGATGCTTTAACCCATATCGAAATACCCTCATACTAGTGTGTCCACCCAATTGTTGTCTCTCCAGTAAAAAGTGTATACCTTTGACGCGTTTGGGATGAATTAAGGAGTTCAAAAATAAAATTTAAATAACTACATAACTGATACAAAAATACTTGAAATATATTGAGATTTCTATATAATTTTTCACTTTTGGTAAAAACTTTTTGTTTCGAAGTTAAAATATACCATTCGGACACGAAGGTCTAAGAGAGTCTGATATGAATACGTTTGAAGTACTATCATAATTTGTTACTACAACTTCACCTTCTCCCGATGCATTTTTCATATCAGAGTCTCGAGTATCTATTCAGTCTCCGATATACTATATTTGGGATACAAATCTAGACAAAACTAGTCAAAAGTATTTATAAACAATTTTGAACGTAAGATATGAAAAGATGAAAATTGAGGGCGTGGTTCCTAATTCAACTAAACTTGCTGACAGGAAGTCATGGGTGAAATCAGACGATAACCACACCTACTCGCTATACATATACCAGTTATGTTGAAAAAACTACTAAAAGAGCGATAATTGTTTGAATTAATTTGCGAGAGAAGGAAGAGCTTCAAAGTCGACGTCACACTTTGGAAAATGGGCGTCAACCGTCTATCGTTAGGAAAAATC